CGTTCTCTCTGTCTTCTTCCATCCGAATGCTTCTTCTGGGAGATGGAAGAAAAGGCCTCATGTTTCATTTTCATCAGAAAATGGTTTATTAAACAGGCCCAATAAGAACATTTTTTAATTTCCATGGTCTTAGGGAATGTTTAGACCTGACAGTATTCAAGGTAGGTGAGAGATATCAAGAGTTTTGCATCTGCAAGCACCATGGTCTGCTGCTTGTTTGATGGAAAGCAATTGCTTTCATACAAGGTGTTTTCCAATTTACTGAAGGCTGCCAGACCACGCCACTGAGTCAACACTGCACAAATGTAAAGTAACATATAGAATGGCAACTCAGGAAGAAAGAAAGTCTTCTTTAACCGAGTATCTGCGACATGAAAGAGACCACAAAGTAGCACAGAAATTCCTACTCAAGTTAGGAGCGTTTCTGTGCTCAGGGACTTTGTCCTACTCGATGTTAAATGACTTACAGAGATGCCCACAGCACCCTACTGGTGTCCCAGTCAGCTGTATTTTGCAAATCCCCTTAATCAATGCAGCAAAGGAAGAAATACAGCTCTAAGAAAGGAAGATGGCTAGGGACTGACTCACCTCCAAAATATTTTCATTTATAGCAGTTCAGGACAGCTCACAAACACCTCAGTAAAGGCAAATATGTGGGTACAAAAGGTACTGATGTCTCTCTACTGTGCTTAGTATCCAAAATTCAGGTACAACCCTCCAGGCCCCACTGGTAGGTGGTGAATACTGGTGATTTTTGTCTCCTCCTCCCATTAGTAGAGAAGATGGCTACCTATACACACATGCACAGTTCAGCAACATAAAGGACTTTGGCCAGTCACAGACTGTATGTACCTAACACGAGTACCCATCAAATGTATCGGGGACTTGGATCAAGCAGCCTAGGATAAGAGCCTAGGATAAGAGCTCTGAATTTTTCATTGCTCCCATGAACATCAGTGCTACAGAAGGCACCTTCATCTCTCTCAAGCACCACGGTAGCTAGTCTGAACATGGCATTTGGTCCTGGGAGAAGCCAAGAGCCCATCATCTTGGGACTAAGCTCAGATTCGGACTGAAATGTCTGATCAAACAGAAAGTGATGAAAGGCACACAGTTGATTAAGGCTTCTCCTTTTCACATGAGAGAGAGAGCTCTTTGATCTTCTCTTTCAGCTGACGCTCACTGTCAGCAAACACAGGCATTCTTGTGCCTTCTTGTACAGGGAGAAATAATACATCTTTTGAAAAGTACAGGATGAAATCCTGGCTTTTTTTCATATTAGTGGCAAAACTCTCATTGACTACTCGTGGAGTCAAAAATAACATCCTCGGCTAACTTCTACAGCAAGCTATAATGGCAAGGCGAGCTGTGTATGCCCTGCAGAAATTAGAGGATAGAGAAGTTTCTATGGCAAATTCAAGTGCCTTTGGAGAGCAGCAGCCTCTCTCAGGGAAGTTTCTGTTAGTGGTCTGGTAATGGTGTTGTCTGTGGCGGTCATTGCTCTAACAAGCACTTAAGAAAGAAAGCCATTTTTAGAAGAGAAAGAAGGCAATCACAATACCAGGGAATTACCTAAAATTCAGATCAGCTCTGCAGCTACTCTGCAGAGGCATCATACTTTTAACGTGAGCACCAAGCAGAGGATAAATGCTGCAATAATTGTTTGTGTCAACCTGCATTCAGTCATCAGCTTAAGAGAACTTTTTCCCTTGCTCTGCCTTAAAAAACAAACAACAGCGCACGTATGGAAAACACATGAGAAAGAGAAAGAGCATTTGTGTGTCCTGAGATAATTACCTGACATCTTGCAAATTCAGGTTTGTCAGCTGTCAAAAATGACTGTTGTGTTTTTGTGTCCCAGTCAGCGCTACATTGCTTCGTCATTCCTGAACTTGCACAGGTTTTCAGCACGCTCATGGTTCATTAATGAATTCATCCTGTGCTTCTTTGCAAGCAATTTGACTGCTGTTTAGTCTAATATTAAATATTCTTGAAGCTCCACAGTGCAGATCAGGCTCTAACTGTCAGTGTATTCACGAGGAGAAAGTTTACAGGCATTTTCTAATGACTGTTGTTGCTATGACCCATTCACTTAAGATGACGTCCCACTCCTAGGACCTTCAAATTCCAAGGCGTAAGTGGGTGATGTCTTTCAATTAATTTGGCACCCAGATCAGTGGATTTGGGGGTTGTTTTTGTTTTTGTTTTTTTTAAGTCAATGTGTGTCTATCCTTCCCTGTACTTTAGAGGATTTTTTCCAGTCCGGAAGAAAAAGGAAGAGTGTTTAAACACAGATTCAGCAAGTGGAAATCTTCAAAACCAGGATAATTTTATCGCAGAAGCCTGAGCTGCTGCCTGGCTGTTCAAGTGGAGCGATGCTGACACGGGACTCATTCAGGCGAAGTGCCTGTCCCCTCCGGATCCCAGCCCAGCCCGACACTGGGTCCCACGCTGAGGCAGGCCCTTACGGAGTGAAGCAGCCCTCTCAGACTTGCACTGTGCCTTTCCCAAGCCTAATGCACCAGCTGCTCTCAGGGCTCATGGGAAACAAGCTTACAGGCTGAGTCTCCCCCAAAAGGCAGTTACAGCTCTGCTTTCTTTTAAGACAGCCTATGTAATAGTGGATATTTTCACTTTTCATCTCTAGCACCGAAGTGAAGGTGAAATGATCTCCTCAGGGGGTGACCACAGATCAAAACACACCTGCAAGTGCTGCTCCCAGCACTGTTACAGCAAAGGGAGGGGGTGATCCCCATATCCCCAATATCCACTCCTTTTCTATGTAAAATTCCTGTGATTAAAACATTGGCCTGGGATGGGAGAATTCAGAGTTCAGCTCCCCGGACTCAGCTCCCCATTTCCACTTGCTCAAGAAATACATGGGGGAGTAATGAAGGAATTACTCTAGACAGCGACATGCATCCCTTTGCTGTGGCAGCTCTGTGTCTGGCAGAGAGAATTCAAGTCACCCGGGGCCAGAGGATGAAAGAGCGTGGGAGGAGAAGCAGATCAGCAGTCGGGCACTTAGGAAACGGCGCTGTCACGGACTGTCCAGGTGCACACGCTGCTCAGAACGTTTTGTTTAATAAAGAATAACCTTAGCAATCTCATTCTAGGTTTTTCTAGTATTTTTTTCCATTTCTAAATCATTCGAATGAGCTGGGTATGCTCAGATTCTTCCTCCAGCCTGTTTAGAAAAAAAAGATCTTCCTACGTGAAACTATGATCTCTGTTCTACATCCCTAAAACATTAACTTTGAGTGATGCATTTTGACAGCAGTAGAACCAAGACCAGCTTCAAGACCTCTGCTGTGATACTGGCAGCAGCAAGAGAAACACTCGCCGCCACCCTCAGCCTCCGCATCCAGGAGGGAGCTGGACCCACAGGTCAGGCTGTCCCACAGCAGAAACCACATCAGAGCAGCTTCCTGTGCCTGACAAGGATCGGGGTCAAGGGCTGGGGAAGAAACAGTATCTTTCCTTCATGTCTTCTTGTCTACATAACTCCCTGTGCTTAATTAAGAGTGTGGAGAATCTAACTAACTCCAACGCTTTATATAACAATTCTACTTCCAGCGCACAGCATCTAACATCTGCTTTGCTGAAAGTGGCAGTTTGTCAACGTTTTTAAGTTTCCCATTCATGTTCCGGTCATACAAATTTCCAGATAAGAAAACATGCTGCAGCTATCACACATGAGCTTCCATCTGAACACACTAGTATATTTGGTGGTGGCCCTGTCTCCCAGAACAAAGGAATTCTGCCAGTCGGGAGAGAATTTAATCAAGTATCTTTTGAAGTCTGACTGGGTACAGAGTCTTTGAATGAAAGATGCTGCTCTGTAGATATCTGTTGCCATGATGATGAGAAAGATTATGGTTATTTTAGCCATGTCTGTTAGTTATACTAAATAATAGTATTTTTAAAGGTATTGAAAACTCGCCACAGAACTCAAGTGAAGGCTATATTAGTATATAGTAAGTCAAGGCTTATTAGTATAACTGTTGAAATTGTTTTCCTCTAAGTATTTTTGCAGTGAAAAATGGTTGTTACCCTGTAAGGTTTTTCAAAGTAAAACACAGTTAAAATTGAAGAGTTCTGCAATTTGCCCCGAATAAATGCAAATAAAAAACAAAAAAAAAATTGTTTGCCATAAATTCTTTAGGATTTTGGCTTCATTTTAATTTTGCAAGAAAAGTTTAAAAGAGAAGAAAAACATTTAAATCTCCCACAAAGCTTATTCACCTTTTTCACCACCTCTACTTACTTCCTTATTAGCCTTCACTAGGGTAGACATGTAAATGGATGTCTTAGAAAAACAGCCTCTAAAATTTGGGGGGGGGTATATTTTTCTCTGTATAATCTAGTAATATATGTCAAAATGTATCTTTTAGTATTATCAGTTTTCACCTGGATGTATGGCTGCTAACAACAGGAAGAGCAGTTCTGATAGCACTTATAAGATATGTCAAGTATTTCTTGAGAAGAGAATGCCAGATAATTTAGTGTCTCAGTACCTGGGGTACAGCACAGCACATCAAGCCATTCACCAGTCAAGTCTTCTCTCCAGCCGCTCACACTGAGTAATACCTGACTTTTTCAAGGAGGATAGCTCTTCTACTAAAGCAATGTCCTGTGCCTGATACATCTCTTTCTCTGACAGTTGTGTTCTTTTCTGTGGATTCATCTTTCAGCGTGTCTTTTCTCTACTTTGAAGAAGAAACTGTGCCACATCTGATCAATAATGCAAACAGAACTGTGACAGTTTGAACCAGCCGAGAATCTGGCTCACTCTATCAATATAAATCTCATTCTTTTCAAAGCCTTCCTACATCGACAAGGCTTCAGAGAGCTCCCTCAAAAAACAGCTACCAAAAAGCGGTTTATTGCTATACAGTACCCAGCAGATTCATATTTGCTCTTCAGCTACTGTTGATAAGCAACAACATTGAGGAAACTTCAAGCAAATACTCTTGTTTTCTATGCTTTTCTATTCATACCTGTCCAGTGAAATGCAGCACAGATGAAGGATTGATGCGGTGGTGAGTAAAACATCTAGGGATGTTCGGACCAGGCAGAACATCTCTCCATAGATCCAGTTGTCCTGAACCAACTCAATAGCTCCAAATGGCATCACCAGTACTGATACCAGCAGGTCCGCAAAGGCAAGTGAAACAATGAAATAATTGGTCTTGATTTTCCTGCAAGACAGATAATAATATTACGGTGGAACAGTTTCAAAGCAGCATCCTCTATACGTGAACAGAGATTTCCACCTGTGTTTGGGTCTAATTCACTCTATCACACTACGAAGTCCCCTCTACTGTCCTCCTCACTTTATGTAGTCACATTCAGCTTGTTCCTAGTCTGAGAGCCAAACATCCACTGTGTTCCCTGCATAAATGCATTTTTCTGCTCACGTGGGGTGGGGGGGACAATAGGTGTTCACAAGCCTTGGCATCAGCAAAGTGGCACTTTGGCCATTTAGCTCCTGACTGGCTCAACCTCACATCTTGCATTTTCAAAGGAGAACTACAGAAGTTCAGATACAAATTTACCATGAAAGTAGGCCCTCAGAGAGTCCCTCCTCCTGTTAAGATTGGTGTTAATCTGCTGAGATAACACAAGTGTTTTCCTTGCACACTGCACAGTGCTTGGAGGCCCTGTGCATCCTATTAGTGTTCCATCAACGGAAATGGCCAGACTACATCTCCTTCGAGCCATCCCCTTCCAAAAGGGTGGCAAAGGAGGAAGGATCAACCTTTGTCTCCAAGAGTTAAGAGAATCTCAAATATGCCCCTTCCTCTTTTCCATCCTGCTAAGTTGTGATTCTCTCAGCAAGCTCTAGCAATTAGCAACAAGTTTCAATTTACAGCCAAGAAAAGTCACTATGGTTCTAGAGAAACCCTTTCACGCTTACAGTTAACAGGCAATACTGGGTCTATAAAGCAAAGGACCAGGTTTTCCCAGATTTCTGGGGATGGGTCAGCACCTATAATTCCTGTGGTGGAGGCCCAGGTAGTCAGATACAAGTGTAGTGATGGGACATAAGTCATGGGATACTCTAAATGAGTGTGGGAGACAACTGGAAAAGTGACTTTTCCGATGGAACATTTTGCAGGGCTCCCTGTGCAACGTGCAGCCTATTTAAAGCTCTTATGCTGGTGTCAGAAAGAAAAAAAGCAGTGGGAGAACTGGTGTGGGATGGATCAGAAGAAACCTGAGCACTGAGGTCCATGTGCAATTGCTGGGGACACACAACCATCCAAAGGGATTTGTAAGGCCAGATCACACTTCCCCCATGGCTCCGGAAGCACTTGCCTCTACTGTGCAGTGTGGTCCTGTGCAGCCATGCCAGATCTAGCCCCAGAACAGGAGCAGGACTAGCCACAGAGGCACGACTTGGCTTGCATACCATGCTTTTCTTCACACTGTTCCAGGGTCCCAAGTTGGACTCTGCACACCAGGCTGTACTGCATTTGTTAGACTTACCTGGGCTAGATCAAAAGGAGCTGCTGCCTCTAACGGTGCCCCACTGGCCTATTGCTGCCCTGCGTTTTGGGATGCTGAGGCAGCCCATCGCCTTCTCATCGCAGGCCTTTGGGATGCACTGGAGGTGTCGTGGAGAGTTTGGGGTGGAGGAAGGGGATTTTATTTTAACTTGTAAATTGAGAAAATCCTTCCAGAAAACACTGAGAAAACTCTAGACTGAAGCTCTAATTTTAACGTGAAGAGCACTTTTTAAATCATAACACTAAAATAAAATTACTCCATTAAAAATCCCACGCAGAATATGACTGAAGACTGTTGAGTACCTCACTCTGCTCCTGAGGCTTGTCTGACAAATCCCAGAGTTAGCAGCAACCCCCTGAGACAGGAATTTTGCTGATGACCCCCCTGAAAGTCACCGGGAACAACTGCCAAGCTGTGGCAGCGGGACATACTAATTGTAACAGACTCTTGATCGGTGTGTTTTCCTGATGGGCTTATTAGAAAGGGAATTTGAAATGGTAAAGGAAAAGGGACAGGGGCCAACCTGTTCTTCACAGAATCCCTGCTTGGCTCTATTATACTATTTATCCGTTTTTGACCTTGGGAGCGCTAAAAATGTAGAGGATGGATACCACAGTCCCCCAGTATCCATCTGAATCCAGATGCATTGAGAACAGCGTGAAAGCCTGACGTTACCATGACGTTAACGGCTGCAGAGGACAGAGCAGAGACCGTTCTCTGTTGCAGCGGTGTATGTATGTCCTCAGCTGCATGCACGGGGCTTTTTACAGGGCAGTTTGTGCAGTCCTGACCCGTAAGTTCCCCCTCTGGGAAAGAACCAGGTCGGGCTGCGAGGGGCTCACCTGAGCTGCCTGTCCCTGCACACAGCCACCATCACCAGCAGGTTCCCCAGGATGGCCATGAGAATAACCGCTGATATAAAGGTGAGCAGCACGATCTTCTCTGCTACGCCGAAGCCCTCACTCGAACTGGGGAGCACAGAAAAGAAAATGCAACAGAGTCTGTAGGGGAACTGCCAGCCACAACCGCAGTGCAAAGGACGTCACGCAGGGGCATTCGTTCAAGCACGCGCCACAGCAGCGTCCTCCACCCCATCCCAGCAAGAAAGCGTCCCCGCCAATATCTCAGCAGCGTTTAACAGCACATATTTCACATTTATGGGAAAAGCTGTGAGACTTGTATCTGTCACCAGGAAAGCTACACATGAAGAATTTCTGCAATACCTGTGACAGCCCATTTTGCCCCACTGGCGGATAAACTGATGAATACAGAGAAGGAGCCCATTTTATAGCGCTGAAGATAACTGAACAGGTATGTGTTGTTTTCTGAATGTCCCTTCCACTTAAGTACCTCTAGAAGAAAATGTTTTCATTCACTTTTCACCCCAATAAATAATGGTATTTTCCATATAGAAATATTTTGATTTTCTTCTCTTTTCTTTTTCTTCTACATAATCTTTTCCCTTGTTCCCTCTTCCCTTCACTCTGAATCACAGACTAAGAGGTAGTCCGGCATTTTTTTTCTTCTTTTCTACTTATTAACCTTTTCAGAGTTGGACAAAGGAAAAGAAAAAAACATTAAAAGGAAATACCCAGTCTACCCCTACCATGACATTAATAATTTCTCTCAGTTAATGAGGACAAAGAAAAAAAAAAGGAAGAATAACATGAAGTACAATATTTGACATATTTTAAGTTTGCATTTCCAAAAATATTTTGTTAGGTGTTACAAAAAAAAACTTTTTCCCCTTTGGAGACTGCAAAACAGGAAAGCAATAAATAGCATGCAGTGTTCAATTTCTCATAAAATTGTTTTCATTGTGAAATTTTTTTGAGCAACTTTTCCTTTTAGGCTATTTCTAATTATGTATCCAGAACAAAAGACATCCCAAACCTTCACCTGCTTGGGTAACTTTAGGTATTACATTGCATAGATGAGAATGGGTGTTTGTTCATATTACCAAGTGTGACTAGAGATAAACTGACATTGAGAGCAGCACTTGACACTGATTCAGCACGGAAATTTCTTCACAGCATACGGAGCTGGCATTCAGCAGTCAGGATTAATGTTGTGAGATTGTTCGGGTAATTGAAAAAACTAACCTGTTATTCTGTTTTAGTCTCATTTGTTTGTTTGACTTCCTCTAGGGTCATTTTTTATTTGCTAACTGCATTCCAGATGATTGTTACACTTTAGCTCATTGAATGAATTTTCCTGATTTTGGCAAAAGCTAGAAGAGATTAGAAACACTGCAGACGTTCTGACAATGAAACTTGTACCGTTTTAATAAGCTTCTAATGACTGACTTCCCTCTAAACCTGCATTGCAGAACATCCATTTTTATACCTAAAAGACATGCCACTTTTGAGTATGACTTTCCTCTGTGCTGCCAGTTGTGTTAATAGATCAGACTTGAGCCTGCTGAGGTTCTGCATGGTGGTGAGATGGCAACTGGCCTGTTCATGTGGAGCGTCAACTGTGTCTCAGAAGTTCCTTGATTTACAAAGAAATGCATCCAACGTTGCTGTGTAGATTCACCCAGATGGGTGAGGATGCTCACAAACAAATAAGGAAGAGGAAAGGAAATGCCCTGGCCTCCCAGTCTTTCCATAGAAACATATGGCACTAGGCAGATAAATGCAGGTTCAAAAGCAAGTACAATTAGGCTATAAGAGAGAGGCAACGGCATACCCTGCCTTCACAAATGTGTGTCTGTATGCCAAGTACAGTGCTTTCTCCCCTGTGAGAGCATATACACATAATTCCACATAATTTCATCTGTTCAAACCAGGAGTGTAACAAATTTCATGCAGAGTGGACAATGGGGTGTATCTCATGTACCTGCAGGATTTTCTGGCAAAAGGTCCTTGAGATTTGCTGGCCACATGTCCCTCTCCAAGTGGCTTGTTGGGAATACTGCCTGTTTACCAGGAGAGGGGGTATGTGTGGCTGAGAGCAAAAAGCTACCCAGTGAAGAAGCAGGCTTTGTCTTGCATTCAAATGAATGGTCCCAGCATAGCTGGCAAAGGGATGACTTCTTTTGCCCTAATGGTTTTCAGTGCTAATGTCAGTGAATCCCCTCCTGCTTAAAGGAGGAAGGTTTCTGGTGCCATGTTGAAGCGGTCAGATGTAGCCATGGGTTTGCATTCAGTAAGACACTTATTTTCGTGCAAGTCAATTATGGATGCTGAGATAGGAGAAAGGCAGTCAAGAGTGGGTTTTACCGAGCATCTGAAAGAGTTTGCACTTAATTAGAAAGAGCTGTCTACTAAGCTTAGCATGACTTCATTGAGGGCAATTAAGGCCCCAAGAAGCACCCACATGTCTTTCGAGCAGCTGGTGGCTCTGAGCAAATCTTTCCCTCCATTCAGAAATGTCAACAAGCCTCTGCCATAACTAAATGTGGGTTTCACAGTATTTATTGAGAGCTCTGCTTCCCATTGCCTTGGGTCATTAGTTCTGATAAGGCTACTGAGACGAGTGGGTTTGGTTTCGGCAGTTACTGCGACGCTACTTACATTGCTGCCTGCAATTTTCCTACATTGCTCTAGTCACACTTTCTCACATCTGATATAAGAAAAGCCACAATGATCAAAGGGGTCTGTCTCCTCCATCATTCTACCTCTGGCAGTAGCCTGCAGGAAATGAAATGCCTACATGAATACACCAATACTTCCCTTGTATGCTCCCTGATCTTCCATGAGTTTGTGACCCCGGGGTTTTGTTTTTAATAGCTCTTGGTGGATTCCTTTGGCTTCCCTCTCTCTGTTCTGAATTTTTGACCTCTCAGTACATCTCTGGGCAGCTTTTCTCCTAGGACTCGTAATAACATGTCAAATTCAAAACCAAGCAAATGGCATCTGTTTCTGTGCTCCTTGGTCACCAGTGGCTACTCCAAATTGCAGATAAAGACTCTTTCCTCAAAACCAAAGGCAACTGGGATCTAATTCCTCATCCTGGCCCCAGAATCCCAAGCTACTCTACAGAATCAGTCACTGGCCACATGGCTGGTCCCAGGAAAAGGTTGTCACTACCCCCCTCCACAAAATCGCTCACCTGCTCTCCTGTCCATCTCCACTTACATCTGACTTGAAAGATCTCCTTTCTTCCAGAAACAAAGTCCTCTTCCTGAGATATTAGGAAGAAGGAAGCTGGAAGCTGGTGACACACAAATCTGTACTGCAGCAAAGGGCTTTGGAAAAGAATGAGCAGCCAGGAGCTGGTCCCTTCCCGTGTGCATTATGCAGAGTGGGAGGCACAAGGTAATTTTCCTCTACCGGAGCACCACAGACCACTCCGGCCCACTGTTTGCCCTCCTTGTGCAGCTGGTTCTTGCACAGCTGGGGAAGGTTAGGCATTTGCAAAGCAGAAGTATTTTGAGCAAAACTGATCATCAGAGCCTTCATTAATAATGTTCATCAGCAGAAGAAGATCCCATAAAAATTAGGGGGAAAAAGAAAAGAAACAACTTCAAAGGCAGGTCTTAGCCACCGGCCTCCTAGCCGGGTACATGGGGGGATGAAAAGCCTCTTGGAACAATGGGGGTGCCATGATCAAAGGCACCGTGATTATGGAGCTATAACTGCACCTGTCTAAATGGAGCCTTCATAATGGACTAACATTGCTCCATGGTTGCATCTGTGGAACAAAATGTCAAACTACACTGAATGGCTCCATACAAAAGACGTTCCTTTTCCTCCTGAACGAGCATGGCAGCACATACATGCTATCACAAGGGTAATGAGAATGGTGATGGTTTAACTTATACAGAGCCAGTTAGAGAGTGAGATTTATATTTTGTCTTATCTAGCTTTGCCTGTCCTGCTTTTCCTAAACAATACTCATCACCACAGTATTTGAGCACCTTGCATCCTTCTGTACTCTGCAGCATGTACAGAGGGGGAGACATCTCCCCTGTCCCCGAGCCCTGCCAGGAGGGTATGAACTGGTTATGGTCCATAGATAGGGCTTGTTGCTCCACCATGAAGTGCCTTGGGAGGGAGGTCTGGCAACCAGCCCTGCTGGATCTTGTCTGGGGGCAGCTCTGTGGTTTTGAGGCTGCCTAATGAGAAATCACCGCTCCTCCCCACCCCTTGGATTGGGTCCCTCAGGCTGGTGGCCAAGCTGTCCAGTGAAATACACTTGCTGTCAGGAGGTCCTACGGTCTAATCCCATAGAGGGAGTTAAAGAGGAGGAGTGAAACATTTTGATTTGACCTGTTGATTTGACCTATTGCCACCTGAAGGATGAACCTCCCCCCAGGCACCGGTGCTTGAGGTAGGCACAGCAAGCTCTTCGCATCAGCTCTCCCCTCACTAGCGTTGGATCAGTTTTGTCAAGATTTACCCTCAGCTGCTCTTTACACAGCTGTGACAGCATCCAAATGCCAGGCAGCTGGGTCATGTAACGTAGCAGTGGAAAGCTGGGTGTTTCCTGTGTGTTGCTGACTTTTTAGCGCACATTGCTCTTGTCATGATTTACACAGGTCGTTCTGCAGCCCTGGGAGGAGGAGGGAGGTTGGGGGATGCCAGAGAAAAGGGCTCTGGGGGTGGAGAGGAATCATGATTTTCACTGTGCAGCTGGGACAAAAATAGCTGCAGACACCTCTATCCTCTTTATTAGCTGCAGGATTTTCTGCTCCCTTCTCTCACACGCTGTGAACTTTTACAGTTGAGAAAACATTATAACTCTGAAGTTATCACTTGCCAGATTTGGTCCTTCGGCATGGGAGGCTGACACCGAGTTTCAGCGGGGGAGAGCATACTGAGCTAAGCAAAGACATTCAGAGCGCAGGGTCGTGTTTTTGGGTGGATGGGAGATTTATTTTTGCAAGGGAGGTGCTGGCAGTCTCCTTTTGTAAAACTCACAGATGTTTTCCTCTCATTTTTGCTCAAGGGGAAGGATAGCGACCATAACAGGAGGTGAAAGCTTAGATTCCCTGCCCTGTGCTTCTAGACACCTTCCTGTG